CGGGCATGCCCCATGACGTCCGTGACCGCGTGCGTCTCTGCACGTCGCGTCCAGCTGGGGGAGCATCGCCGCCGCCGCGTCAACCCACGTGCACTCGCTGCCCTAGAATAGCCTCGTGCTCGGTCATGCTGATACTGGCCAACTGTGGCAGGAAGTACGTCCACAGGTCTTCGCTCACTGTCGCATTTGCTGATAGAGACTTGAACCGCTCATAGTCCGTCTCTCGCCTCGAGATGTAGTCCTGCACAGACTCCGATCTGTTGCGAAAGCCTTTGAATAAGTACTCCTCGAAAACTTGCTGCTTCTGTAGTGGGGCGATCCGCTCGCGCGCTCGTCGCGCCGTTGCCACCCCGAGCTTCGCTGCAGCAAGAGGGTCTTCACCTGCTTTGTCCAACGCAACTTGCGTCGCAATCCCGGCCCCCTTCCTCGCAAGGTTCCACGCTCGCTCATTTGAGAAATTATTGAGTTTGATCGTGTAGAGCTTCTGCAGCTTCTTTTCGCCCGCGTAGTAGCCGAGGACCGCGCGCTCCTCGAACTCCTCGCCGTAGGCTGGGTCGCCGCTGCAGTGTGAAACGCCCTCTTTGTCCACGAGGAGGGGTCCGTCATTGGGCTGCTGTTGCCTGGTCTCCATCTTGTTTGTAGTGGTGATGTTGCCGTCTCTGGCGAAAGCGTCGCCGTCTCTGAAGAAGGCGTGGCCGTCTCTAAAGATGGCGTATCTTTCCAGCTCGTAGTGGATATCGCTGCCCCTGTTGCTGTCCGGATCGTGGCAACGATTTTCGGCCGGGCTGCAGGTGGTGATGTTCAGCGCGTTGATCGCTGACGGAATTGCGCAGCGTTTGAAAGCGCTGCGAATCTGGAGCGCCAACAAATATCTGCACGGCCACTCGCAATATGAACCTCGCAACCGTAGAACTGATCCAGCTCCATGCTACAAGTGCAAATGCAAATCGCAACCTCCCTCCCGCCAGTACTTGACGCAAACACAAAGCAGAACAGATAATGTATATTTTCCCCCCGCGCTCAAACTCAGTCGCGGGCAGGCGCGTCCACCCTCCCGCCCAGCACATGAGCCACAACGGCCATGGGCGGAAAACGAAATATAACCCAGTAGCACCCTGAGTCCCACATCCTTGTCTATCTGATTTTCGCATTAGGAAACACGTAAACAACCTTAAGTGCAAACACTTTTTAAGGAATACGCACACTGATCTTCAAACCAGAATGCGAATCACATGCAATTCGACATGCAAATCGAGCAGCGCAACGGCCCGTAAAAATTGTCCCAGTGCGACCCTACCTAGGAGTTGGAGCCCCTAGGAAAGCAGCATTAGTAGTAACAGTAAAGCTAAGCTAAAGCCAAGCTAAAGCTAAGCTGAAGCTAAGCTAAAGCTAAGCTGAAGCTAAGCTAAAATTAAGCTAAAGCTAAGGCTAAAGCTGAGCTAAAGCTAAGCTAAGGCTAAGCTAACACTAAGCTGAAGCTAAACTAAAGCTAAGCTAAAGCTAAGCTAAATCTAAGCTAAAGCTAAGCTAAAGCTAAGCTCAAGCTAAAGCTAAAGTTCAGCTAAAGCTAAGCTAAAACTAAGCTAAAGCTAAGCTAAAGCTAAGCTAAAGCTAAGCTAAAGCTAAAGCTGAAGCTAAGCTGAAGCTGAGCTAAGGCTAAGCTGAAGCTAAGCTAAAGCTAAGCTAAATCTAAGCTAAAGCTGAGCTAAACCTAAGCTGACGTTAAGCTGGAGCTAAGCTGAAGCTAAGCTAAAGCTAAGCTAAAGCTAAGCTAAAGCTAAGCTAAAGCTAAGCTAAAGCTAAGCTAAAGCTAAGCTAAGCTAACATTAAGCTAAAGCTAAGCTAACACTAAGCTGGAGCTAAGCTAAAGCTAAGCTAAAGCTAATATAAAGCTAAGCTAAAGCTAAGCTAAAGCTAAGCTGAAGCTAAGCTAAAGCTAAGCTAAAGCTAAGCTACAGCTAAGCTAAAGCTAAGCTAAAGCTAAGCTTAATCTAAGCTAAATCTAAGCTGAGGCTAAGCTAAGGCTAAGCTAACACTAAGCTAAAGCTAAGCTGAAGCTAAGCTAAAGCTAAGCTAAAGCTAAGCTAACACTAAGCTGAAGCTAAGCTAAAGCTAAGCTAAGCTAAAGCTAAGCTAAAGCTAGGCTAGAGCTAAGCTAACACTAAGCTAAAGCTAAGCTACAGCTAAGCTAAAGCTAAAGCTAAAGCTAAAGCTAAAGCTAAAGCTAATGCTAAAGCTCCCAGAGGACTGGGGGAACCGCGGGGCGGGGGCTGGGGGAACTGCCTGGGGCGGTTAGCACTGCCCGGCCCTTTAAGCAAAGAGAGTAAGAGCCCTTCTAGGCAGAGCCTAGGTAGGGAACTACATGTGGTTTGAACGCAAATCGGCGTGCAGATCGGCATGCAGGTCGATGTGCGTGTCAAATCGTACACCGGCAGGAAAACCAAGCTGAACATGAGCATGTGGTTGCCATGTATATCGACATGCGCACCGACATGCGCCGCCAAGCGCAACCAACATGCCGACCGGAATGCACTCGGAATGCACAACGACACGCAAACAGACATGTATCTCGGGAGTCGTATCGATAGGAAACCGGCACGCCTACATGCACATCGACATGCAATCGATACGCAAGTCGGACAGCAAATCCAAACGCAAAAGGAACTCACATCGGAATGCACGTCGACATGCAACTCGAACTGAAGACCACCCCTACTGTTCACCCCCATACCCCCTTTATCATCGGAAGCGTGGTCTACACCCCCAGGACGAAAGTGTTTTCCTCTTGGGCCCGGAGAAGACGGTTTGAAATCAGGCACGGACACGTATGAGTGGAACGGTGGCGGATCCAATTAAGCTCGCCCGACTCCGATTGCGGGGTTGATTTGTGGCGCGGTTGGTCCGATTTCTGTCTGCACGGATCCGATTTCGGTTTTTCGGCCTCCGCATCCCGTCAATTTTTTACGGCGGATACCTTGTTCTGAATTGATACGGTTTCAATCGATCAAGGAACCAACCGACACTAGCGGACCGCAGGCCCGCCCGTACTAAGATTCTACGGGGGAGAGGGGTTCGGTTGTCAGCGTCCCAGGATGGGCCCTGCGGTGTCTCACGCACTCCCATCAACTCTCCGTGCGCGCAAGCCCCACTCAACATGAATACATCTCTCTCTCTCTCTCTTTCTCTCTCCTGCCGATTGCTGCAAAAAGCTGGTCCAGACGCCGTCCGTTCGGCGGCGCCAATAATATCTCGCGAACTCCTCATCGCCATGTTCAATTCCAGAAAAACTTTCGTCCTGCGCAAGTATGAGGTATGCGGTTGAACATGAACGTGTTGTCCTCTGTGGTTCAACATGTGTGGTACGTTGTTTATGGGCCGCGCATCTGTAGTCACAACCAGAGGCGCTTCAACTTCACCATGTCTGTTTCGATCTTCTCTATGAATCATGCGTCTGCTCACGGACCCTGCGAATGGCCTCTTGAGACGGGTCTTGCATGCGGACTCAAAATCAAGACGCTGCTGACTGACCTGATTCGTGGCCGGCAACCCGTCTGCGTAGGCAATTCTTCCAGGGCCTTTCCAAACTGCTTGGCGGCTGTCATCGCAAGCGAAAGAGCCTGTGCAATCGACGCTGCCACACAAAAGCCATCTTCCAACTCGCGCTTACACGCGGAAAAGCGGCTGCTCAACTCCGCCGAGCAAGACTGGCCAATCTGCTCATCACGCTGACTTTCTTCTGACTCGGACCTTCCGTAAGACCTAGAGCACGAACATGGCGAGGATCGCTCGCATGGGTCATGTCTGCCAGGCCACGACCGCTGCCAGCAGCAGACCAACGATCACGATCTTGTTGTCCCCCATCATCACTCGCCGATCCAAGAGCGCAGATGGACCTTGTGAGACAAAATCGGAAGAACTCGTGCTACGTCCTCGGATTAGGTCCACGCTTGTCCCACGGGGGGTGCGTGTATCTTCGAGCTCAAATATTTACGGCAGAGGGCTGATGGAGGGAGGTAGGGGTTTGAGAGATGGGGGTGCGCAAGGAAGGGGAGGGAGAATTGGGGAAGGAGTGGGGGGGCGGGACGGGGCCGTGGATGGACGTGGATGAGGGATGAGGCACTGAAGGATGAGGGATGAGGACAAGGCAGGGTGGAAGAAAAGATCGGATGAACACGGGAGGATGGATGAGGACGACGAGGGATGGAGGGGGCTGGCCCTCTCTCCACGAAGGACCTTTATCACGGGGTTCCACAGCCCCCGCGTCGGCGTGGGCCTCCCTCGAAGCAGAGACTCTTGTCCGCATCGATCTCTCCAGGGTTATACCAACCGTTTTTTTGAGGCAGGACAAGGCAGGCGACCCACGCATCTCACCATAGCGCGGCCGGCTCCGCAGCGTGAAACGGCTGACAGCGAGGCAGAACATGTGAAACGGAGAACAGGCAGGCAAACGAGAAACGGGGGGGCAGCCGAGCAGTGAAACGGAGGGCGGCTGGGCCGAACAGGTTCCAAAAGAGTCGCTCCTCCAGCGGCCGGGTCGGAGGCTGGGGCGGAGGAGCGGAGGAGCGAGACCCCGAGATCCGACGTCGTGAAACATCGCAAGGCCGTTGAGAATTTGATCGAGGCCCTCGACCCTCGACCCTCGACCACATTTTCCTCCGGCGTTTCTTGAGTCAGATCGATAGGTGAGTGGCCCAGGGCCTGAAACGGCGCGAAAATGCCCGCCGTGACGTCTCGCGAGGCCCAGGTCTGAGGCGAGTAGCAGGAGCAGGAGGGCGAGGTGGCCAGAGGGCGGGCGGCTTCCGGCGCCGCTGAAGGCGTCCGAGGGCCGAGCTAAGTGGCTCCTGTGCCACGGCCCGCCCAAGGCGGCGAAGTGGCGGCCGCAGGCGGTCACGCGGACGGGGCCTCAGAGCACCGCTGTGCGCAAGCCGGAGAGAAAGACCAACAACGCCTCTGTGGCGCCGCGCGACGGCGGCGGCCCGCCCAACTGCGCGGATGGGGCATCAGCGTGCCACAGCGCGCAAGCCAGCGGCCAGGGCCAGCGGCACCACTCCGGGCGAGGCCGGCCTCGGCGGGGACACCAAAAAACGAGCCAGCTCGTTTGGCCCAGCCTCGTCCTCCCCCTCCTCCTCCTCCTCCTCTTCCTCCTCCTCCTCCTCCTCCTCCTCCTCCATCATTATTCGCATCGCCTTGTTTTTGCACGGGGCCCCACAAGAAACACGCGCTACGCGGCAGACAAACATCCGTGGAGAGGGTATGCCGATAAAACAATCAGCGGCAACACCACAAGACGCACATCGACTCTATAGTACACCCACCCCACTGAGACAATACACCTGTCACCATGGCATTGTGCGCTTGAAACTTGCAAAGGCAATGCGGATGGAGGGGTGTGAGTCTCAAGTGACTATGGAAAGTCAAATAGCATCCGATTCCATGGGAAGCGGATGGCAGATAGCGTCCAAAGCCATGCTGGGGTAGTTCAATATGGGGAGTGGACGGATAAGATAGGATAAGATCGATGTAATGATCTTTCCAGCACGTAGCGAACACCAGCAGTGTCCGGGCAAATAGGGCGCGCGTGCCTTGAGCCAAAGGCAACGGCGCGCGAGCTATACTCCCGATCCTATTTAACATCTCCCAAAGAGCTACCCTTAAAGTCGGGAGGGGAGGAGACGGTGAGTATAGCCGCGCAGCCGTTTGGCTCCACAAAGGCCGCGCGCGCGACTGTTTGCAAGAAAAACAATACGTACAGTCTGGCCTATCACCAGACTGTAAGGCGAGTTTCCTCGCAAAGCATTTTCACGCATACGCCAAATAGCCCCTTGGACATCAAAGGGCTATCGGCCCGGCGAAAGGTAAGCCAAACAGGCTATACCTCCCCGAGCAAAAGGGTATTAAAGCAAGAGCCTGAATCAATATTGACAGGCTCGTTGCCAAGCGTGAAAAGTAAGGCTCGTTTCCGAGCAACTAGGAGGGCGCCTCTTAATTAGGCGCCCGCGCTGGCAGACTGGACCGCGGGGGCAACAAGGACATACTAAAACTGATTTGATTTAGGCTTGTTTCTGTCCTCAGGACCCCGAAAGGGAACAAACTGCTTCACGTCATACTTAAATGACTGAGTGCCTGACATCACCTCCACAAGCAGCTCCCGATCGATACTCACCTTTGTATGCCCATATGCGGTCATGTCTCTAGTATCGCACCATTGTACGTTGTGCACTATACCTATATCCATGAGCTCACGTATCCAGCTGATATGTCCCAGCAAAGTCCGTTCCGTCGGTATCTTAAGATCTTTGCTGGATCGCGATTTGTATACAGACCCATCGTCTATAGTAAGGGATACTTTAATGGCTAGGCCTCCAACTTCACGCATGCCACGTAGTTGTCGTGGAGTAAGTGCCCCTGCCTTGAGCTCGTGGAGAGTGATGAGCGTGGGGTAGCATTCATCAAGGTTGCGTGCAGCTGCAAGTGCCTCAGCGGCATAGCTGGACCTCACCTGCAATCGGTGTGATTTGCATAGTCCGTCGCAAAGGTGGATGGCGGATTTGCCTTGAGGCGAGTTTCCTCGCCGTAATGCGTTAGCCCCACGGATGCCGTAGCCCTTGGTCTCATCGTCTTCCTCTCCGGTGAGCTTCCGATACCCCGAATCACTGTGTATGTCTACTTCGTTCGTCGGTTTCATCCGAGGGAAGGCGATGCGTTCCGGGCTGCTGATCAGCTTTCGCGTCACAGCATTCAGTCGTCTGACTTGTAAGTTGGTGGGCTCTTGGATCTTCTGGAGAGAGACCACATGCACCATAAGCCAGACTTGAGTGAGAAGGGCATAGGCGAGAGCTCCTCGCAGGCTAACGAACATGTCGGTGATGAATTTGGTAGCTTTGGCGTCAGCCGCCGCTCCCGTAAGTTCAGGGTGCGTGATAGGACGTAGTTGTTTAATGTACTCGTCCTGATCCATGATCACATCTCCTTGTTCATTCTTGGTGTAGCGAACGGCGCAGTTCGTATAATAATGTTTGTTGAACTTGCACTTACCAAATACCTTTTCGACACGTTGTACATCGTCATCTACGTTTTTCTCTAGGCCTGTCATGTTGATATCGTCGACATGTTTTGCCGTTAACAGATCTTGACTGAATTCAAACTCTGGATCGTAACTTGTCGGTGAGAGGCCTATAGCCCGCGTGGTCGTACGAAGCTTGAGGGAGAACTCTCTTGGGGCGTCCTTTGTACCCGTCCCTGGCTTGAGGCACCTGAGGCAGTGTCGGCTTTCATCGTAAGAAGAGAAGCCTTGGTAGTGTACGAAGCACCTGGGCGCTTCCTGGTGGAAGAGTGAAGCAAACCATGCGAGTTTCCTCGCAGGTGGCATGAGCAAGTTCCTCATAGGTCGGCCTCGGCGACAGCCCCAGCGGCGGCTTCGTGGCAGCCGCGTCCCCGGGGGCCTCCGCAGCGCGCCCGGCGCCCCCCGGAGCCTCCCTCCTGACGGGCCGGGGGGGATTTGCGTCAAGATTTTCATGGGCGCAAACTGGGGCGGGGCCGCGAGCTGCGACGACAGGGGCCTGAATCCCCCCGCTCACGGCCCACTCAAGGCCGCCAAGGGGCCGCAACTGCGTTCCTGGCTGCACCTTGGCCCGTGCCAGGCCCGTCGGGCCCAACCGACCCCGTGTCCGAGCCTCTGCCCGCCTCGGCCGCACCCGGCAGCCCCTCGGCAGCCCGCTCAGCGGCCTGGGCGCCGTGCGCCGCAGCCTGGCAGGGGCAGTTGCCGGGGGCGCGGCCCGGCAACCCACGCTCGGCCGCGCCCGCCATATCTGCCGCCTACTTTTTGACGAAGGGCGACGCGATGGGGGACACCTTGCCCAGGCTCGTCCGGATCCGCCCGGCCAGGGCATCGCGCTCCCTGCGGAGGAGCGCTTTCCGCCTAGTGCGACCGACCTGGCTCCATTTCTCGTCGTCGCCCGCCAGGTCGTCGATGGAGGCGACGTCGTCGGCCACGCTGGGCGCCCCCTCCGAGGCGGCACTGGCGCCCTCAGCAGCCTGAGCGGCCACCAGCGCCTGCAGGTGTGCAAGCTGCTGCTCAAAATGAGCCTCGCGCTCACGCCACTTCTCCTCCGCATGCGCGACGGCGACGTAGCCGGTCGGGGCTGCGGCCGGGGGCCGCGCGGCGGCAGGCTCTGCAGGTGCGGGCGCGGCTGCACCGGCGGGCGCACGCTCTGAGGCGTACTGGGCCGCCAGGGCGGCGACCTCCGCAGTGGCCTTGGCCGCTGCGGCCTCGGCTTCGGCAACAGCCGCATGCTGCGACTGGATCTTCTTGCCCAGCTCCTCTCGCTCAGCCTCCCGAGCCTGCAGAGCCGACTGGGCTTCAGCAAGCCTCTTGGCCATGCGCGTCTTGTGGGCCTCCGCCACCTCCAGCTGCTTGCTGAGAGGATTGGCTGCCCGCCGCGCCGCCTGCGCAGCAGCGAGATCGCCCTGGAGCTTCGCGATGCAGGCGTCGTAGCCCCCGGCGACCGAGTCGCGCAGCTCCAGCGGCATATTCTGCGCCTTCTTGAGCCGGTCGCGGGCCAAAGCGACTGCCTTGCCCTTCTTGTCGCCGTCGACGCCCATGCCGCCAGGTGCGGGCTCCGCGCGATTGTCGCCGGCAGCCCGGTCCTTCCGCAGCTGCTCCAACTCGCCTTTGAGCTTCTGGATGTCCTGGGCATGCTTGCGGTTGGCGGCGTCCAGCTGCTGCCGCAGCTTCGCCTCGCCAGAGGCGCCGGCGGCGGCAGCCTTCGCCCTCGCCTTCGGCTTGGGCTTCGCCCCTGAGGCGCCAGCGGCGCCGCCGACGTCGCAAGCGCCAGCCAGCCGCGCGAGCACCTTGTAGGGCGCGCCGTTGCCGCACTGGTGGCACTTCGGGTTGTTCGCCCAGTTCGTCGCGAAGCCGCACATGCTGCAGCCCCAGTGCGGCTTCTTGGCGGCGCCTGATGGCGCCATCCCTTCGATGGCAGGCGCCTGCGAGCCGCGGTGCCCGTCGAGCAGGCGCCGCGCGTCCTCCAGGCGGGAGGCGAGCCGGGGGCTCGCCCGCCTGTGCCAGGGTTGTAGCAGGAGCCGGGCCTGCGCGCGGCGCAAGCGCGCCCGGTGGTGCCACGCGGCCTCGGCGGCAGCGGGCGTTATTGCAGTGGGCGCCGGTCTCAGCGCAGGCGGGTTGCGCAGGAGGATCGCAGGCAGGCCTGCGCCCCAACCTCCTGAACACCGGCCTTGAGCCAAAATGGCTTGAGCCAAAATGGCTACGGAGCCGTGTCCATGAATCCGCGAAGGACAAGTCTGAGACGGATGGTTTTAACATTCTCGGTGCCTGCCTTCACAAACTTCCACTTATATACATATCTGGATGTCATGGTGTTGGAAGCTTTAGATAGGTCATACATCTCGAAGCACCGGCTATCAAGCCAGATCTTGAGTTCGGTGTACAAAGCTTCACTAACCTGTTTAGGGTGTGCTGCTATATCGGCTTTGGTGAGTAGGTCGTCTTCCTTGACTACCACCGCGCGTTTAGCAGCTGATGATACATATACTCTCATCGTTGCGACCATGTCAGTCTCAAGCTGTGCAAGTTGGGTCTGATCCAACACTACCATAGATATTTCTGGTGTGAAGCATAACTCAACAGAAGGACCATGTTCATCACTGTCAAGAGAATAGCCCTCGTCAGGTGTAGTCGAGCATAGAGAGATAAGACAGGGCTCTTGTGGTTCAGGCTCGTCTCCGAGCGTTCCCGACACTATGATATCTTCCTCGTCCACGGATGCTGAGACCAGAACACACTGGTCGGGCAGCATAGTTGTTGGGACGCAGTAGAGATGATCGTCGGTAACCGTTGTGGGATGAAGGTCCATACGTAGTTCATCGTACCACTCTTCCATCATCATAGCCTCGATGTCATGTTCCTCGCTTTCTTCATAGATTGTAGATAGGCGACCTTCACTTGGTGATGAAGCGCCTGGGGTGTCTGGTGGAGGCCTGTCTTCAGGCTGGTCATGTTCTCCAGACGTTGTGCCCAAGTGCTGATACTTGGTAAAATCGTCATGAAA